AATAAATATCAGTAAATTTGAAAATCATATTGAAGTCAAACACTGTGTGCAGTTAATGAGACAAATCATATTAATTTAACTGACTGGTGCCCTAAGGAAACGCTTCACATTTTATAACGTCTTTGTGGAGCTTTGATTACAGTCACAGCCAAATCTAAATTTATCTAGTGAATTAATTGTTCTTATGGTCAGTTTTATTGTTGTCATGAATAATTGTGCTAAACCTTTGAAGTTCATATCGCCCAGCTCTACTTCCTGCAGTATTTTGACTCGTTGGTTGTGATTGGCTCCTTTTTATCCAAGCTGAACTCTGATTGGAGGAAAACGATCCGTCTGTCTGCTGTCAGGATTCATGAGCTGCACAGATTCCTGCCACCATTTATGTATGAAAGACATGAAATTTCACTTCTTTTTGGCCCTTTTGGTGCTCCATACATGCGGAGCAGGAATGTCACAGCAGAGCAAATTCAGCAATCAGCTGATAGACATAAACACTGAACAACACAAATTATTAAGGATTCACCATAATTGGTGGTTTTCTCATATCTGGAAATGAAACAGTCAAGTTTTCTGTTTTTAATCAAAGATATAAAATGTTGAACTTAAAAATTAACTCAACATTTGTCATATATGAACAGAAATGCTAAATGAAGATCTAAGATGTTTTATTAATATGAAAAAAACAAGATGTCTGGAATTGATCAAAGATTTAATATGAAAAGGTTTAAAATATTCACACCACTTGAGCCTCCTTCCTGCTGACCGTCCAGGTTTCAGCGGCTCTTATCTGAGCGGTTCTGGATCCTCTGGGTTATAAAACATGTTTTTTCTTTTTGCAGCTACAAAAGGATGTAATTTGTGGGTCTCGTCTTTCTGCTTCACCCCGAACCGAATCGCTCAGGCCGTCTTGTTTATGCCTGGCTCTAATCAGAAGTGGTGCAGAGCGCTGGCAAGGCAATAAAACATCAGCAAACAGTCGGCGTGAAGCCGAGCCGCCCAGAGGAGGCAATAAAGCAGAATAATCCGGGTCAGCTGCAGACAGCTGCTCAGGAGGTCCGCATGCTGCGCCGCCCGCCCACCAGCTCAATGGAGCCGCGGGGCCCTGGCTCCACTGAGATAGCGTTATCTGGGCCCATCACAGCCAACACACACTCAGCGGGCGACACACACACTCAGCGGGCGACACACACACTCAGCGGGCGACACACACACTCAGCAGGCGACACACACACTCAGCGGGCGACACACACACTCAGCGGGCGACACACACACTCAGCGGGCGACACACACACTCAGCGGGCGACACACACACTCAGCGGGCGACACACACACACCAGGCGGACAAAGCCACCTGTGGATGGATACAAACATGGAGGCTGGGGAGGAAGTCCACCCCCACAGAGCAGCAGCTGCATCTTCATCCCCACAGCATCACCTTCATCACTTCAGGTGACTGCAGATGCAGAACCCGGCTTCGTCCTGCAGCTTCAGGGAATCTGAGTTATTTGGGCCGGCGCCGCTGGGCGCCGCGGGCCAGAGGGACGCGGATAAGCCGTATCGACGCCCTGCTTCCTTCCTCCAGTTTAATTAAAAGCAGATTTGGGATGGAAAAGCACATTTTCTATACAAGACGAGGAAACAAAGTCCTGCGAAAGGTCGAGCTGCAGCGACGCCCGGGTCCGGTTTCTCAGTCTGGACGGACACTGCTGCGCAGCTGGCTGAAAACTGGAACACCTCTTTGGTTTCAGGTCATCATCAATGTCACACTCCAATCACACCTCACTGGGTTTTGCTGCGATTTGGTGCTTCGTAGTTATGATGCTGAAAAGTGTGGCATGCATTTTGTTTCCGCCCCATTTACTTTGGAACGCTAGAACAAAATCCAAACCAAGATACTGCAGTTCTCAGTGTGTCGCAGGCAGCCATATTGGATTTTAATGCCGGGGCGAAGCTCTCCGGATTAACGTTCATCTGGTCGCCATCAGAACTCGCCGTCTGAAGAGCCTGATGTTCTGGGATTGGCCGGGTCAGGAAGGCGTCTCTGCTGGCGTCTGACTGAGATCAGCTGCAGAACGCCGGAAAACTCCAGAATAGAAATTTTAGAAAATTTGAAGGGAAATAAGTTCTAAAAGCTCTTAAAACTTTTGTTTTTACTGTTTCAAACTCTCAAATGTTTTTGAGCTGCTTTCTTGGCAAAGATCCTTCTGTAGAAGATTTGTGTCCTGATTAGTTAAAGCTGGTTTATGGCTGAAGTATTTTAATCTCGCTGTTCATACAGTTTACTGCTGAAACATCCGCGGCAGATACAGCAGGGAGTGAAATGAGCTGAGAAAACATAAAACTTTCAATAAAAAAGTTTCTGTTGCAGTCAGTATTTGATTACAGGCCTTTTTCCTGTTACCCCTTCTGGTTTAAACAAGCAGGCGAGTCCAAACTTGTCTGTTCTGATTAATGATAAACCCTGATAGGCTGTTTATCTCCACATAATGACACACAGGCCTCCAAGTCAAACAGTGAGCCTGGCCACCAAGCTCTGCTGCTACGAAGCTGAAGCATGTTGTATTGACACCATTTATTGCATTAAGGCATGATTGCATTCCCAAACCGCTTAAAAAAGTACAAATGAACACAGAATTGAACAATAATAATCAAACTTATTACAATGAGAGTCTGGCTTGTTAATGACAAACTTCTTCCCTAAAACGTTTCTCTCCATGTCTGATCAAATCTGTGAAAACAAATAGAAATAAAAGAAAGTTAAAAAAATCATCAGCCAATCAAATCTAAATCATTTTTTGATTAATCAATAAAAAATAACAGCAAACTGCATAATTCTTCAACAAATTTGGCGCAAAATCATCAACAAATATCAATTTTTACATAGAATCATAAACACAGCGTGGATGAAAGCTAACTACAAGGAGCCAGTTTGAGTTATTGCAGTGTAATGTGCTTCCTTCTTATGAGAATCAGTAAAACAATTCAACACAATGAACTAAAACAAAACCCAACTGCTGCTGCCTATTAAAAGTGCATAATGTTAGATTTCATAAACTTCTGGTTTTATCAGACAGATGGCGGCTCATCCTGCCCACCTGGTAGATATTAAATCAGCTGTTCTAATGCTGTGAAGGACTGATTTCTAAACTCTTCTTATTGAAGCTGAAGTTTATGCATCTCCATTTATGTTCATCTTTAGTCATAAAACATAAACAGTTAGTATAAAACGTTAATGCTAATGTAGCACAATAACATCCTGTCTGCGGTGTCAGTTTCTCTCTGAAGAGTCCAGTGATGGAGGATGGTTGTGCTTCAGTCCTGTTAATATGACAACTCCAATCAGCTCCCTAATATTCCTGCTCCAGACCTCCCAGGATATTCCATGGATCTCCATTTCACTGACATGTCCTCCTTAAACCAGTGAGAAAGAATCAAAATTTGCTCCAAAAGTCTTTATAACACACATTATACTCCATCATGTGTTAGAGAAGAAATGGCGTTGTGGTGCACCAGCACAGGTAGGAGGAGGAACACTGGTCATCTCAACTTTCTGCTGGGTTCACAAGGATGGTGCTTCAACACTTCAACTTCATTCATTGCCAGCTTTTGGACCCCAGTCAAATGTCTAGCATGACATTGACCCTCCCCTAGAGGACCATGGCTTAAGTAGGACAGTATGCTGGCCACTTCAGCCCTTTGCCATGTTTAACTTTGGTCCTTTGATGCTTTAGTGATTATGAAAAGTAGCCGATTACTACTGAAGATATCGCACCAACCGTTGGTCAGTTTCAACCCAGCAGGGAAGGTTTTGTATATCTTAAGAGTCTATGTTACTGTGGGACCCTCCTGCGCCATAAGATCCTACTGTACCGTAAGATCCTACTGCACCATAAGATCCTCATGTACCGTAAGATCCTACTGTACCGTAAGATCCTACTGCACTGTAAGATCCTACTGTACCATAAGATCCTACTGTACCGTAAGATCCTACTGTACCGTAAGATCCTACTGTACTGTGGGACCCTCCTGCACCATAAGATCCTACTGCACCATAAGATCCTCATGTACCGTAAGATCCTACTGTACTGTAAGATCCTACTGTACTGTAAGATCCTACTGTACCGTAAGATCCTACTGTACCATAAGATCCTACTGTACCGTAAGATCCTACTGTACCGTAAGATCCTACTGTACTGTGGGACCCTCCTGCACCATAAGATCCTACTGCACCATAAGATCCTCATGTACCGTAAGATCCTACTGTACCATAAGATCCTACTGTACCGTAAGATCCTACTGTACCGTAAGATCCTACTGTACCATAAGATCCTACTGTACCGTAAGATCCTACTGTACCGTAAGATCCTACTGTACTGTGGGACCCTCCTGCACCATAAGATCCTACCTACTGCACATAAGATCCTCATGTACCGTAAGATCCTACTGCACTGTGAGATCCTCATGTACCGTAAGATCCTACTGTACCATAAGATCCTACTGTACCGTAAGATCCTACTGTACTGTGGGACCCTCCTGCACCATAAGATCCTACTGCACCATAAGATCCTCATGTACCGTAAGATCCTACTGTACTGTAAGATCCTACTGTACTGTAAGATCCTACTGCACTGTGAGATCCTACTGTACCGTAAGATCCTACTGCACTGTGAGATCCTACTGTACTGTAAGATCCTACTTCACCATAAGATCCTCATGTACCATAAGATCCTACTGCACCATAAGATCCTCATGTACCGTAAGATCCTACTGTACTGTAAGATCCTACTGTACTGTAAGATCCTACTGTACCGTAAGATCCTCATGTACCGTAAGATCCTACTGTACCGTAAGATCCTACTGTACCGTAAGATCCTACTGTACCGTAAGATCCTACTGTACTGTAAGATCCTACTGCACTGTAAGATCCTACTTCACCATAAGATCCTCATGTACCGTAAGATCCTACTGTACCATAAGATCCTACTGTACCGTAACATCCTACTTCACCATAAGATCCTCATGTACTGTAAGATCCTACTGCAGGGGTGGGCACTCCTGGTCCTCGAGGGCTGCTGTCCTGCAACTCTTGGACGTCTCCCTGGTCCAACACACCTGAATCAAATCGCTGAATCATCTCCTAAATGCATTCAATTCTCCAGAGTCCTGCTAGTGACCTCATTATTTGACTCAGGTGTGTTGAAGTAGAGATGCATCTAAAAGTTGCAGGACACTGGCCCTCGAGGTTCTTATGGTGCAGTAGGACAGGAGTGCCCACCCCTGTCACCCTAAGATCCTTATACAGTTTATGAATGATGTACTTTCCAGTCTTGTGCAGAAAGGTCTGACAGAGTGTGCTTCCAGTTGATGACTCCCACATGATAGCAAACAGAACTCTTAAGAAACTATTTAGACAGTTTATCAGCAAAATAAAGTTAATATAGGAATTAGTTATACTTTAAAAACCAAACATCCCTGGTGGATACTCCCTGACAGACGGTTGGTGCAAGAACATGAAATGGCAAAAGGGCAAAGTGGTCAACATGCCTTCAGACCCATCTTTAAAAAGATAGACTTGTGAACCTCTGCGCAATAAGATTGAACTATTCTATAACTATCTGTCTGTATTATTCATTAAAACCGATAACTACGAAGAAAAATACACTAATATGCATTGGTTAAGTAAATGGAAACCAAATGAATTGCTTACAGATATGAAATGAAAGCAGATTGGAGCAAAATGACACAAAGAAACCCGGCTGCAGAAAATCACTTATTGAAGGCTAGAAGAAGATGAACATCAGCATAATGAGTTTACTCCCCAACTTCTGATCTGATGAATCTGACACCTGACCCAAAGAACCCGGTTCCAGAGACATGAAGGCCTGCTGAGTCAGCTCGGTGTTGATAATGGCTCATCACTGAGAATGAATAATTCAGCGGTTGCTGGATCGGATTAGAGGAGAGCAGATGAGTAGCTGGTTTACGTTTCATTGAGCCGACCCAGCGGTTGGACTCTTCTCCATGACTGGATGGAGACCTGAGTTCACATGTAACTCTCCACTCGCTCCCACTGCTGCATCTCAGTGAAGAAGCCCTCGTAAAGGCCAAAGCCCGGATCCAGGGTCAGGGGAATGACCTGCGGCTCCTCTTTAATCTCCTCCCACGGCTGTAGCGCGGCGTCCGCCGGCGGCTCACCGAACAGCGCGGCCGACCCGTCCAGATGTTGCAGTTGGTGTTGCCCCTGCAGCATCTGGTCCTGCTCCAGCTGCGGCCTCTGCAGCGGCTGCGTCACGCCGATGGTGCTGTCCATGGTGCCGTCGCTCAGGTCCAGGTAGCTGCAGGACGGGTAGTGGGTCACATCCGCGCCGCCACACCACCGTCCCAGGCCTGCCGCGTGCTGCCGGCTGTTCATGGACGCCTCCACTTCGCAGCCCAGCGAGCTCAGCGCCGTGTTCAGGTCCAAGTCCTCGAAGGTGCTGCAGCCGCCACCGAGAACGTCATCGAAAACGGACCCCAGGTCAAAGTCCCCCTTCAGGATGTCTGCTTTGTTGGCCTCCATGGCGAGAAGCGGGGACTCTGTGGAGCGCATCAGATTGCTGTGGTCGGTGGAGGACAGCTGCTTCCGCTTGGCGCCCGCCTGGTGAGGACAGCTGCTGGGGAAACCCTCCGCCAGCTTGCTCTGCCTTGCTGCAGCGCCGGCGCCATAGTAGTTGGCAGAAATCCTCCTGCGCTTGAAGATGCCGTTGACGAACATGTCGGCGTACTGAGGGTCGATCTGCCAGAAGCCCCCCTTCCCAGGCTCATCTTTCTGCCTCGGGACTTTCTTGAAACACTTGTTGAGGGACAAGTTGTGACGGATCGAGTTCTGCACCATGAAGAACAAAAAACACATTTAACACAAGGAAAGGCAGCCATGCAGGAACTAAAGCTGTCCACCTGTCAGCAGGCAGCAGCGTGGGCAGAGGGGGGGGAGCGGGGGGGGGGGAGGGGGGTGTTGTTGTTTACAGAGAAGCTAATGTTGCTAATGAGGCTTTCTAGTAACAGGCAGCTGAGAGCGTTTCAGACCTGATCAGCTGCTTCACTGCCAGCTCTCTGAGGAGCCCTCATTAACACACACACAGAGACGCACACACACACACAGAGACACACACACACACACAGAGACACACACACACAGAGACACACACACACACACAGAGACGCACACACACACAGAGACGCACACACACACAGAGACGCACACACACACACAGAGACGCACACACACACACAGAGACACACACACACACACACACAGAGACGCACGCACACACACACACAGAGACGCACACACACACACAGAGACGCACACACACACAGAGACGCACACACACACACACACAGAGACGCACACACACACACAGAGACGCACACACACACACACAGAGACGCACACACACACAGAGACGCACACACACACACACACAGAGACGCACACACACACACACAGAGAGAGACGCACACACACACACAGAGACGCACACACACACACAGAGACGCACACACACACACACACAGAGACGCACACACACACACACACAGAGAGACGCACACACACACACAGAGACGCACACACACACACACACAGAGACGCACACACACACAGAGACGCACACACACACACACAGAGACGCACACACACACACAGAGACGCACACACACACACAAGGAGACGCACACACACACACACACAGAGACGCACACACACACAGAGACGCACACACACACACACACAGAGACGCACACACACACACAGAGACGCACACACACACACAGAGACGCACACACACACACAGAGACGCACACACACACACACACACACACACACAGACACACACACTGATGAACATTCGCCTCGAACAGAAAAAACATGCAGAGCATCGAAGGTTCTCCACATTTCCTCACATCCAGGCGACTCGGATCAGGGCAGCGTTGGGTTTTTGTTTCAACACAAGGAAGTCTGATAGTTTGTGTGTTTTGTTTTCTGCCTCCTTCCTTCAGCTGGAAGAGTTTTTCACTTGGATTCTGGTCTGAACTTTGAATAGGCCATTCTAATGTAAGCAGTAAATATGATGACTCAGCTAATTCTTGTTTGCATTCTTGAAGAGTTCTCTTAATCTTTCAAGACACCGTTCTTTTATATTATTGAAAAGCCACCATTTTGAAAAATAAAGTAGTTAGTTTATACTTTATTTAATTGACCAATGTCTTATCTGGCAGTTCTCCATTTCTGGGCCTAAAATTGTTGCTTTGAAGATTAATTTTGAGACATAATCTGTTTTATTTTTTCTTTTATTTGTAAAAAGTTTTCTAGTTCCAGTTAAACCTTCTTTGGAAATTAAAGTTAATCAATTTTTGTGACCTTGCATTATTCTGCCTTTATCGTTACTTTAGTAGAAAATGATCTCAAAATGACAATATTATCGTTTATCGTGATAATTTATGATCCGATAACATTTGTTATCAGGTCCCTTCCATCCCATAGATCTGATATAATCCATACCATAATATCTCTGGCTGTCCTCTGGTTTGTCCTGATTTATCTCCACCCATCGTCCCACAGCATGATGCTACCACCACCATGTTTCACTGTTAGAAACTCTTTGATTTTTGCTCCATTCTTGAAAATCTCAGATTTGTATTTTTAGTTATAAACCAAGAACTGAAAATCAAATCATGATTTTCCATAAACCTGCTTTGAGCCGGTCTGTGTTGAACCAGTAAGACCAGTAAGGGTCTCTCTGCTCTGCGTGATGGTGACACTGGAGCGCCGCGCCACTCAGCATTGTCAGACTCATAAATTATGGACGGACCGGGCCGGACCGGGCCGGGCTCGGTTACCTGCCAGCTGGGCTCAGCGTGTCGGTAGTAGCAGAAGTTGTCTGTGATCCAGCTGTAGATGGTGGACAGCGTGACTTTGGGCAGCTTGCTGGCCTGCATGGCCATGCAGATGAGAGACGCGTAGGAGTAGGGCGGCTTGACCTTCGGGTTGCTCCGGTAGTCCACCTCCACCGGCGGGCCCGCCTGGACCGGGAAGCCCGGTGCGGGGAGCGGGGAGAACCGCGGCGGCGCGGCGGAGGTCTGGCTGCCGGAGGCGGCGGGGCTGCCCGGGTACCGCGGCATCCCGGCGGCCGCCGCCGTGTCCCCGGCCGGCGGGCTGGACGGAGAGTCGGTCCCGGTTCTGGGGAAGCCGAACCGCCTGAGGAGCAGATGGTGCTGGGAGGACGGGCACTCCGGACCGGTACCGGCCAGCAACTCCGGGTCGGCGCTCAGGATGGAGAAGTTCTGCAGCCAGTGGAGGCTGGTGAGGCTGTCATCCAGGGGGGCAGAACCGGAACCGGCGGCCGGGTCCAGCCATCTCTCCCTGAACCTGTTGGCGGTGTCTGGACTCGATAGGACGGGCATCCTGCTGTCTGGGGCAGCGGCGGGATTTTAGCGCATTTAAAGTTCGGTTCGCCGCTAAAAAATGTGAAAAATAAACAAGAAAAACTGAAAAGTTCACGAATAAAAAGAATCACATCAAACAGTTCAGCAAACAGACCGGATCCCCGCCAGAAAGAGCCGAAACTGGAGAACCTCCCGGTACCGGAATGGAGAAGATGCTGCGAGGCACCTGTTGCTGCTGCGCATCTCCTCCTCTCTCTCTCTCTGCTTCTCTCTCTCTCTCTGTTTCTCTCTCTCTCTCTGCTTCTCTCTCTCTCTCTGCTTCTCTCTCTCTCTTTGTTTCTCTCTCTCTCTCTGTTTCTCTCTCTCTCTCTGTTTCTCTCTCTCTCTGTTTCTCTCTCTCTCTCTGTTTCTCTCTCTCTCTCTGCTTCTCTCTCTCTCTCTGCTTCTCTCTCTCTCTCTGCTTCTCTCTCTCTCTCTGTTTCTCTCTCTCTCTCTGTTTCTCTCTCTCTCTTTCTCTCTCTCTCTGTTTCTTTCTCTCTCTGTTTCTCTCTCTCTCTCTCTGTTTCTCTTTCTCTCTCTCTCTCTTTCTCTCTCTCTCTGTTTCTTTCTCTCTCTGTTTCTCTCTTTCTCTTTCTCTCTCTCTCTGTTTCTCTCTCTCTCTCTGTTTCTCTCTCTCTCTTTCTCTTTCTCTCTCTCTCTGCTTCTCTCTCTCTGTTTCTCTCTCTCTCTCTGCTTCTCTCTCTCTCTCTGTTTCTCTCTCTCTCTGTTTCTCTCTCTCTCTCTGTTTCTCTCTCTCTCTCTGTTTCTCTCTCTTTCTCTTTCTCTCTCTCTCTGTTTCTTTCTCTCTCTGTTTCTCTTTCTCTCTCTTTCTCTCTCTGTTTCTCTTTCTCTCTCTCTCTCTCTTTCTCTCTCTCTCTGTTTCTTTCTCTCTCTGTTTCTCTCTCTCTCTTTCTCTTTCTCTCTCTCTCTGCTTCTCTCTCTCTCTCTGCTTCTCTCTCTCTCTCTGCTTCTCTTTCTCTCTGTTTCTCTCTCTCTCTGTTTCTCTCTCTCTCTCTGTTTCTCTCTCTCTCTCTGTTTCTCTCTCTCTCTCTGTTTCTCTCTCTCTCTGTTTCTCTCTCTCTCTGCTTCTCTCTCTCTCTGGGAGGGCGAGCAGCAGCAGCAGGTTCTGTGCAGCACCACTATCCGGTCCGTTCTCGTCGAACCGAACCAGCCTCCCAGTGTCTGGTGTTAATATGTTGCAGCTCTTTCTCCCTGACTGATGTTGAACTGGAGGAGCTTCTGGCCTGAAACGAGCTGAACTTTGACCTCTAGCGCGCTCATGGCGCCCTGGTCCCGCTCAGATCAAACCTTTTCTTCACTCTCAGAGTTTCTGTACTGAGATAAACTGAACCAGGGATGGTTTAGATGTGAGTCTGATAGGAAGTTATTGAGCCACAAAATGCAGATATTTGATCTATTTAATGAAAATCCATTTTTTGCAAAACATTTCTTGGACAATTATAAACAAAACATAATTTCCTAGTAAAGTAATAATAAAGTCTGATGTTATGCTGTCAGCAGATCAGCCCATTAAAAACACCAATGAAACAAAACAGTTTACTGAACTTTTTCATCTTATAAAGATTTTTTTTAAATGTAACTGCATTTAATCATGTTTTATGGATCTTATTTGAATGTCCCTCTTTTAATATATATATATATATATATATATATATATATATATATATATATATATATATATATATATATATATATATATATATATATAACAATAATACACACACACATATATATATATTTATTTATATAAAACACATCGATGACCTTGTTCTTTCTACAAACTGCTGTATTGTGTTTAGATAATGTTGTTCAGCGGCTGATAAAACATGTGGGACCAAAGCGAAGTCAAGCCGTCATTTATCTGACGTCATATGTGACGTTCAAAGCGTCGATTCTTTTCACATTAAGAAAACTGCGATGATAATTTACAGAGGATCGGGTTAGGGTCAGGGGTCAGGGCTTTGATGTTGGTCACTGCCGCTTCATACACATGAGAACACCGCCACCCTGCGGATCATTTCTGCACTGCAGTTGAACCAGAAATAAACTCAGAAAAGTTCTGATCCCTTAATTCATCAGAGATGCAGATTTTATTAAATAGCCAATAAAAAACGCTCCTTTATGTTGAGATTCATCAGCCACGGCCTAAAATCCTCCTCTTTCAAACATCTGATGGATGACGGATGAAAAACAAACAGTTTTTCTGTTGAATGTGGTTCTGATCCACAGATGGTCCAGTCAAGTGAAGAAGATGAAACATTATAACACTTCCTGAACTCTGACCTGGATTTTGCTTATTGGAGTACATCAACAACATTTAGTTGCAGCAAACTTTTGAGTAGATGATAGAAAATTGCTTAAATTATCAGTACAATATGCTGAGAGGGTTAAACCTCCTGCACAGTTTCCCTGCCCTAAAGTTAGAATTCATGATTTTTTTCGTGACCTTTAGAAATAAAGTTAAAGGTTTTTCCAGTCAGTTTGTCTGCATGCCATGCCAGTTACCACCAGCAGGTGTCTCCACCTCCCCTGGTGTCATAGCTACTACCAACCACTATGTTTACAATTACATTTTCCCACAATGCTCCAGCGTTAAAGAAAAAACCGCAGCAGAAGCGGAAGTGTCTTCTGTCTTCAAACTGCCGCCAGTATTTGTGAAGTCACAATATGACAAGGATTATGTAACAATGTGACGGTTTGCTAAAGGCCTCAAACCTTTTTAGGAGGAACAAGTCATGATGAATTGCTGACGCGACAATATTGTTGTTAGTAAGCACCATTTTTAAAGTGTGTTTTGACATAAAGATTTCTCTGTCAAACCACTTCAGACCAAAACAACATGTCAGAAAACTGTTGAAGGATAGAAGCGGGTTTATGCGGTTCCCCGCACCGAGCCACGCCGCCGTGCGGGAGCGGCGAGGAGCGGAAGCGGCGCTGCGCAGCGCCGCCGCGCCGCGCGGCGCCGCGGCCTAATTTAACTCCGGCCCGTGTAATTGGTGCTGCTGGACTTGTTT